CCTGATATTAAGTCTAGTCGTGTCTGACTGTGGCGGGTGGTGCTCATCTCCATTTCTAAGCCAAAGAGCTGGCGTTGTCCGTAGACATCTCCAACGTCACGTGGCCAGCATGACTGCATGGAGCGCCATTACCTTCCTGCAGAAGCAGTACCTATTGATCTACTCACATTTGCATGTTTTCAAACTGCTAGGTTTGCAGAAGCTGGGCCTAACCACGGGAGCTCACCCCACTCCCCGGATTTGAACAGCCAACCTTTCGGTCAGAAAGTTCAGGAGTTCAGCAGTTTAACCTGCTGCGCCACCAGGGGGCCCTTACTTTGAACCATAACAAAACTCAATTTCCGACCAAACTGTTTATTGTTCTTCCGTTTATAAGGCTGTAATCCCAGGCACACTTATAAAAAATTAAGCTCCATCAATTGAACTCAGTGAGACTTACTTTTAAGTAAACATACAAAGAATCAGGTCCTACAAACTTCCAAATCAACTACCATACTGCATAGGTGGCTAAACTGGTATGTAAACTGGACCTATATAAAAGAGCTCATGTTGAAGAGGCGTCTGATAACAACATTTTTTAAAAAATTGAGCTGGAAATTTGTATAGTTACTCTCCACTTAAAAAGTGGTCTTTATCACACCAATGGCAGAAGGTTATCTGAGCATTGATAATTTAAAAACAAACAAATATCACTAGTTTTAAATTTGATATAGAATATTGGTGGAGTGTAGGAAAATACTGCAATTTTTTTACACGGCAAGCAATGACATTCTAACAGAGGAAATTATAATTTATTAGTAGTCTACAACCCACCAAACTATAGATTTTTAATATACAAAAAACTCGTTTGAATGGATTTAACATATGTACATGTAGAACTCTATTCTGCAGCATCATTCGATGCCTGGGTCATGAAATAATTCAAATATTATAAATATACACAGTATAAACAAGCAAAATTACACACAGATTTTTATACTCTAGATAGAAATTAGCTACCACATTTTAGCAAGGTTTCCCTTAAGCTACATCAAGTCATTATTTTTCTATCCACCTTCTCTAAACTGAATATTTTTTCAAAAAAATGTACACATTTAAACTGGTATAATGTAAATAAGAAAACAAATAAATGTGACATCTGTTTTTTTTTTTTTAAGACTGCCTCTTGGAGTCATTGGTCTGAGCTAGTTGGTGAAGATCTCATGCTTGCATAGGCTTATCAAAACTACTCACTAGGCCTGATACTCAAGGGATACTCAAGCTTCACAGGCTAAACCCATACCTACTATTTTCTAAAGAAAAAAGAGCATACAAGGACCACCAATTTTTTTTTAAGTCACTACACCTCTGGAAATGAGATTGCCCTACATTTCTATTAAAGTCTCCAAAAGTCTCCATTTTATAATTATTCTGACTATGGGATATAAACTTACATGTGGCAGTTATTGGGAGGGTTACTATGTTCCATCCAGTGAAGCACGCCATTTTTGTTTAAGGGTGCATCTACACCAGCGGTTCCCAACCCTTTGGTCATCCAGGTGTTTTGGAATCCAACTCCCAGAAATCCCAGCCAGCTTAACAGCTGTTAGGAATTGTGGAAGCTGAAGTCCAAAACACCTGGAGGACCAAAGGTTGGGGACCACTGATCTACACTGAAGAATTAATGCAGTTGGAAACCACTTTAACTGGCATGGCTCAATGCTATGGAATGATGGTAGTTGCAGTTTGTGAGACACCAGAAGTCTTTGGCAGATGTGTCTAAAGACCTTGCAAAACAACATCTCCTAGGTTTCCATAGCACTGAGTCATGGCAGTTGAAGTGATGTTGAACTGCATTAATACTACAGTGGAGATCAATGGTTCTTAACCTGTGGGTCCCCAAGTGTTTTGGCTTACAACTCCCAGAAATCCCAGCCAATTTACCAGCTGTTAGGATTTCTGAGCGTTGAAGGACAAAACATCTGAGGACCCACAGGTTGAAAACCACTGGTGTAGATGAACCCTATGAAGGACAAAACATCTGAGGACCCACACGTTGAGAACCACTGGTGTAGATGAACCCTATGAGAGCTAAAGAAAAACTGAAATTCCATAGGTATAGCTTTTCCCATCATAACAACCACCAATGGGAATCACTGTAACTGCTGAATATCAGTGTTCAGAGCTCTTAGAGCAGTGGTTCTCCTCCTGTGGGTCCCCAGATGTTTTGGCCTTACAGCAGTGGTTCTCCTCCTGTGGGTCCCCAGATGTTTTGGCCTTCAACTCCCAGAAATCTAACAACTGGTAAACTGACTGGGATTTCTGGGAGTTGTAGGCCAAAACACCTGGGGACCCACAGCTTGAGAACCAATGTCTTAGAGAGAGATACAGCCCCTATTAGGGACTCTAAAAGATTTCAAGCCTCTCTCTATAAATATACTGCTAGATCTCTAGAAAAGCTTTCGAAATTCCTACATTGGCAATGCACTGAACCCTAACCCTTAACTACCATATTAGCAGCAGCTGTATCCATTTCATTAAAGTTTACTTAGCCCCTGCTTTCTCTTTTGAAGAGACAGCAGTTGGAACACTAATCACAGTGGTTTGTGTATCCAATGATTTTTTTTTTACTTCCTTGGGAACAACAAGAAAAAAATGGATTAGATCCAAAACAATATATGTATATATAGTGCATCTTCAAAAGCAGCATATATCCTTAGAAAGACATCAAATAATTTACTGGTACAATATATAAAACAAAAATTTTGTACTGCAGCATCAAACTCTGACGCCTGAGTCATTTAATGTTAGGCCGAGGATATAAATACTGGGATGTTTTCGTCACTTGAGTCTTTTCTTTTTAACTAGCTCTTTGTTCCAGAATCAGGTTGCAATGAACTTTAAAAGTTATTCAAGGCACCCCTGAGAGAACGCAAATATATTACATAGTGTAATACTCACCTGACAAAAGCAGAAAAGCCTAAATGAAATGAGGTGTTCTGGCAACATGAAGTAGAGCACAGGCAAATAAGAAAGGAGGACTAGATACAGACTGGACAGAGCCCAATGCATACTCCCTACAGGCTCCTTGAATCAGTGCAAAGGTATCTTCTGTTTAGCACAAAAATGTCAAACCAAGACAAAATATTACTTTCCGAACCAATATCCGTGGAAGTTATAAAGATTTCCTCCTTTTACACCTGCTCGACAACACAGGACTATTTTAATTTCCAAAGAGAATCTTGGTCAGTTATTGGTTTTCATTGTTCTCCAGACTGCAATCCAAACATGACAATCTGTGTCCAGTTCTGAAGCTAATTCTCCTAAATGCCTCCCTTGAAGTCAACCCAAGATCCACATGTGGTTCTGAAGAACAACATGCAATATATATATATAGAGTCCAAGGAAGAAATTATACAGATCGGTCATTTCTAAACGGTGAAGACCCAAACTCAAAACATCCTAAAAAGCTTGAAGCAATAGATTTCTCTGAGCAGTGGATTTTTAATATAATTTGACTAAAAAACAGTTTCTCTCTTTAAAAAGAAAAAAAAGGTAGCGAAACCCAGCACCAATGAGAGAGCTAGGTCAATACAATTGCTGTAGAACAATATGTTCTGTCAATTGCATTTAAACCACTGGAATGAGGTCAAAAGTACCAGTTGCACATGAGTTGGTGTGATGGCAAATCTTCATGTCAGGAAGCTAGTTTAGACATGGTTGAATACCCATAAAAACACAACTAGCTCTTGGAGGTCACTTAATATTTTTTTTAAAAGGCAACAAACAAAACTCCCACATCTGAACAATACTGTCAACAAAACAACAACAAAATCTCAAATGCCAAAACCTAGCTTTGAAGCTATAATGCAATTCACACGTAGCTTTAAATTCTAGCTTCATTGTCTGTCTCACAGAAGGTAAGATATCTTTGCAGGGCACGGAAAGGCTCTGCAACGTCAACGGGTTACAAGACATCCCCCTTACATGTGCATACCGCCTTTCGCCCCTAGTTTATTTTCTGTACACAGGTTGTATGCTTCCAATATAATTAAATAGCTATGCTTTCAAAACAAGTCAAAACCATCCCAATCTGGTGCCAAAATGGCACCCCACGGGTTGAAACTAGCATCCATATGGCATATATAAATATATGAATAGTTAAGAGATAAGCTTGTATTTATTTATGTTACAGAAATGGTTAATACTTAAATTATATATTTATATCTATATATTTTAAAAAATATAGCATTTTCAGCCTACAAAAGGACATCCCACTCTTCCCAGTAAATAAACGTGGCACATGCAATGGATCCACCACCTGGTTGGCAGGGAGACTGTACTGAATTTGGAGCCAAAAGCAGCAATAGGACTGGCAAGCTGTTTACTACAACTAACCGTAAAACAAAACACAAAAAGGGTGCCCATTCCTCTGCTGGGAAGAAAAAGAAAGAGCCGGTGCCAATTTACAGAGTGCTACCATGTTTAGTGTAAACATTAGCAAGGAGGAACACACTGTCAGGATGAAGGGGAGAGAAAAAGCTATCTCAGTCGGGGATGTGGGGCAGCCCAACACAGTCTGATCCACAGTAATAAAGGTGAACAGTACCAATCTGTAAACTACAGATGTCACCATAACAACATAGCTTGAAGCAACTCTGCAGAGTCAAGGCAGAATCGTTGAAAAGAGAAATTCACAGAAGGAACCAACTTATCAGATGAAGCATTATCCTATACAAAACTTGAAATAAATGGAGGTTTTGCAGTATTATATCTACTGAGTAATTCTCCCCTTTGCCATTGAGGATAGAGAAGAGAAGTTCATGGTGGGTTTTATCAACCCCCTGGAAGACTTGCTTCCATGGGCTTGAAAGGCAGATTCTGACTTGGCCAACCATGACCTTAAATCAATTGGAGCTCAACTGCTATCATGACTTCATTTGGCCCTGCTGTCCCAAAATCTGATGAGGATGGTTTCCAACCTATCTGGACTGGTTTTGGGGATTCAAATTGAGGCCACCAGTTCGACCAATGAAACAGTTTCTGTTTGCAGAAAGATCAAACTGGCTCGCATTAGTCATAGCAATTCTATGGATTTCTTTCTGAGTTTCAATACTTTTGAAACTAGTCCCATAAACTTTTTTTGAGAGCCCAACAGATATATGCTGATGTGAGTAAGGTGAAAGGAACTCACTACATGGCATCTCTGACGTCTGGGAAATGAAGCTACTATAGAAATGCATAGTTTTTAATTCTTCAGGTTAAGGATTGCTCCAAGCAAGGCCTCTGTTAACTAGCCTAGGCCTAGAAACCTTGCACAAATACACTATTTCCCACACTTCGATCTAAAGTCAGTACAAATGGGAAACTAGTGTAGTTAAATATTGCAAATACCATCTGGTTGAGATGGCATTTAATGGAATTGTATAAAGTTACCCATAGGACTACTTGGAGGAAAAAGGGCACGAGCTCAGTATAAGAGAATAAGAAATGCAGTGGCAAGCTCAATTTCAACTTCATTGAGAGTCACAGAAGAAGTGCTCACTGATAAAACAGCCATTGCCTTCAGCTATTGTTCTTAGCATCAGTGACACCCACTGGCCCCTAAACAGTTTTAAGGATCTTATTAAATATTGAACCATACTCAACAAATAGCAAATACTCTGAAAGGAAAGCAAAAGGTGGAGGGAAGAAGCAGTTAATGTCAACTTGATTTGAGAAAGTTAAAAAATGGAAAATAAAAGATGAATACAGAAAACACCCAATTCACATTACTGGGCGAGTTCCATATTTGGCAAGATTGTTATTTTCCCTACATAAACATCTCCTGAGTGATCTTGGGTTCCCCTCCCATTTAATTAAAAAAGGACAATAATAATAATAATACAAAATACAAAAAAATATGGGAAAGCAAAGAATACAATATATGAGTTATACAGACGTCACAACTTCATTTGTGGAACGAGGTTTGATCCAAGACTCAGTGCAAGTGGCAAAGTTGACCGTTGCTGTACAGTATCTGTGAGAAAATCAGAGTAAAACCCACATTGCTCAAAATGGGCACCAGAAAAAGACAGGAGTGCCACAAATGCTGTCCATATCAAAATTTCAAATAGGTTTCCAACATTAAAACTTTATAAATAAGATCCGAACTGAATGATATTGCTGAATTGTGAACTGAGTAGTGGAAGAAAACTATTAAAACAGTTACAAACTACCTCTAGCATTGACAAAAAAAGGAATGTTGGAATTTGTCTATACAATAGAAATTAGAAAACTTCCAGTTGTTTTCGTGAGAAAAATTGAGGCATGCAGGGATTTTTTTTTTGCATATGGATATATATTTTATATATACTATATATAGTATGTACAGTTTAGCTATAAAACTTTGATGTGTAAAGAAGCTGTCTTCCATGAAAAATTGAACATTCAGAGGAAATTCCTGAGTTAGGGTTTTGTGACATGGGCCACTGAGAAAAAAAGCTGCGTTTGGGTCCTCAGAGGTGTTATGTCCATCCCTGTTGAATATTGAAATTAAAATACAATAACAACAACAACAATAACAACAATTAAAAAAAAACACCGACAGTGTTGCCACTGTTTTGTTCCCTTGCCTGAGCGAGGGATAGCACCATAGTGAAGAAGATAAACTCCTGCTTGTAGAGAGGAGGGAATACTTAAAAACAGTATTGCTGCTAAGACCACTGTAGTGTGCACCAAATTATGTTCTTCAATCTAAAACAAACAAACAAATGTGGCCACGGGCTGACTGAAGAATACCTTGCTAGGCGTAACAGAAAAGCTATATGGCCACTAAGTGTATTCCTTCCTAGGCTGCTCGTCTGTTGTACATTTATCAGTCATTTCCTGACAGAAGTCCACCGTCACCGTTTGGTTATTCTGTTCGAGAGGAAGCTCATGCTCGGCGTAAGGACCTTGGTCAGCTCCCTCCAGGGCTCTTGCACATTTGTCAGAAACATTGTTGGGGAGCCAGTGAGCGCCAAGCGGTTGCCCCGGGCTTTGCTCCGAACAGCACTGCAAGCCTTCCCCAGCACACTGGGACGTCACTACGTTTTGATCGACTCTGGCTGGCAAAGGATTGATTCGGGCTGCTGATGGAAGATCCATTGGCCTGAGAACAGGGCAGTATCGGTGCAGGTCTTGGATCTGGTCAGAGCTCTGCATATCCCTGCACACCTCTTCGGAAAGGCAGGAGAAATTATCTAATAGCTCTCCCATGCATGCTTTCAGCTGGTTCCTTTCAGAAAGAAGTTTCTCTTTTTCACAAACCTGGGGGAAGGAGGAAGGGAGCAGACATTAAGGAAAAGAGGTGTTAATTTTAAAGAGAAGTATAACACATCAACAACATTTATTTACTTCTGAACACTTTTACATTGAGTTCCATTTTAAAAAAACAAAGCATTTTTAAATGTTTCCTCATACAACAGAACAAAAACATCTCCAACTATCAATCCGTGTCGAAAACAAGTATCCCAGATGAAAAAAATAGAGTAATGTTTGCCCACTAGATTTATGAAAAACATAACTTTGGCCACTGGTGATCTGAAATTTAATACAAATTGAGAATTCTACCACCTCAGTTGACAACTAGGAGACCCCGGTGGCACAATGGGTTAAACCAGGGGTCCTTAAACTTTTTAAACAGGGGACCAGGTCACAGTCCCTCAAACTGTTGGAGGGCCGGATTATAATTTGAAAAAAACATGAATGAATTCCTATGCACACTTGCCATATTGTATTTGTAGTGCAAAAAACACTTTAAAATAATACAATAATTAAAACGAAGAACAATTTTAACCAATATAAGCTTATTAGTATTTCAGTGGGAAATACTGCTTTTGGCTGATGAGATAGGATTGTTTTGTTGTTGTGTGCTTTCAAGTCATTTCAGACTTAGGTTGACCCTGAGCGAGGGCCGGATAAATGACCCTGGAGGGCCGTATCTGGCCCCCGGGGCTTAGTTTGAGGACCCCTGGGTTAAACTCTTGTGCCAGCAGGACTGAAGACCAACAGGTTGGAGGTTCGAATCAGGGGCGAGGATGAGCTCTCTCTGTCAGCTCCAGCTGCCCATGCGGAGACATGAGAGAAGCCTCCCACAAGGATGGTAAAATATCAAAATAGCCAGGAGTCCTCTGGGCAATGTCCTTGCAGATGGCCAATTCTCTCACACCAGAAGGGACTTGCAGTTTCTCAAGTCGCTCCTGACATACAAAAAATGGCAACTCTTGTCTGGAGTGTAGAGAAGAGAACAGTGGCCAGATCCATTCCAAACTCAAGCAAGTAAAAACCCAAGTGGCTTGGAGATCCAATTTCTCACTTACTCTAGGAAGCAATTCATAAATTATATTTTATCGAAGGATTCATAAATTCAAATTGTGAAGTTTTTCTTCCTCTTTCATAATGCTAGAACTGGGGGTATCCCATTGAAACTCAGGCAGATGAGAACTATAAGGATGTGGAAGGGGAGAACCGGGCCCTAGTGTGCTTCATGCATACAATTATGATTTCTTCTGAGATGCTACAGCATCCCCATCACTCCAGACTTTGAAAGATGTATAAGTTTCACATCTTGGGAGATCAAAATGAGGACAGATACACAGAATTGGCCTTTATATGTGACAGAACCTGTGGTCAAAACCACCACTAGCCCTATCTAGAGTAAGTTTACTACAATCAGTGGGATTTAAGCCAGTTGTGACAATCAAATTACACTAATTTCTTCTTTAGGTAGGTGAGATTTAGCTTTATGGTCTGAAGGCACATGATGCAGCAAAATTGTTGAGGCTATTTAGGCTTGGCCAGTATCTGGATTAAGACTGGTGGACCAAAATGTAGACAGTTTTGAGATCCATTAGAGAATGAAGAATTGATATAAAATTTGAGATTTTTTTTTTGTTTTAAAAATGCTATTCCAGTGGAGTCAACTATTCAACGTACCAACTTGCGGATTTCACATTCTAAATTCTGAATACAGTCCAGTTTCCGCTTACGGCAGCGCTGAGCTGCAATCCGATTCTTACTGCGCCGTCGAACATCATGGATAAATTCTAATTGCTCTGAGGTTAATTTGTGCATCTTTACCATCATCTGGAAATCGTTCCTTGGAAGATCTGTGATTTGATCTACAGGAAATGGAAGTTTCACCTGAAGGAAAAAAAGTCAGATTGCTTAATAAACAAAGTATTTAATAGGCTCCTTTGGGTACTGTACTTTTATTTAAACAATGTAAAAGTGACAGCGTAATCAATACTAACTGCTAAATTATTATTTACTATTTATTTATTTATTTATTTATTCATTTACAGTATTTATATTCCACTCTTCTCACTCCACAGGGGACTCAGGACGGATTACAATGCACACATATATGGCAAACAATGCCATAGACACACAACATATATAGATAGAGACACAGAGGCTATTTAACTTTCCAGCTTCATGAGGGTATGCTTTTTGAATTCAGGCTAAAGTCTTAAAGTCAACATAAAGTCAAATTATGTTGACTTTAAGTTTTCTATCAGTTGATCTTCCACCAGTGTTTTATACAAAGTAACCTTGGGAATTCAGACGTTGCCAGGGTGGTCCACGCTCTTGTTACATCTTGAATAGACTACTGCAACGCGTTCTGTGTGGGGTTGCCTTTGAAGACTGTTTAGAAGCTTCAAGTGGTCCAACGAGTGGCAGCCAGGCTCCTCATTGGTGTGGGGTGCAGGGAGCAAACACCCCCTGCTGTGCCAGCTCAACTGGCTGGCAGTCTGCTACCAAGTACAATTCAAAGTGCTGGCTTTAGCCTACAAAGCCCTAAATGGTTCTGTCCCAGCTTACCTGTACCAATGTATCTCCCTCTATGAACCATCTCTGAGATTAAGATCTACTGGGGAGGCCCTGCTCTTGGTCCCACTTCCTTCACAGACTCGACTGGTGGGAATGAGAGACAGGGCCTTCTCAGTGGTGGTCCCTCAGCTATGCAACTCTCTCCCCAAAGAAATTAGATCACCTTCTTCCCTCCTGTCTTCAGAGGTGGCCCTAGGTAATTTTCAAAGGTAAGCAAACAGTATTTTGCTCCCCCCCCCAACCAATCACTGATATATATTTTCTGTTCGTTGTGGGAGTTCTTTGTGCCATATTTGGTTCAATTCCATCATTGGTGGAGTTCAGAATGCTCTTTGATTGTAGGTGAACTATACATCCCAGTAACTACAACTCGCATATGTCAAGGTCTATTTTCCCCCAAGAGCACCTCAAGAGCGCCCCTGGGCAAAATCAACTATACTGCAAATGCTTACTTTGCGTAATGGGTTGAGCCGCTCATGCCTGTCCTACAGAAAGAAAGACATGGTTGTGGGACCAAGTCTTTGGTTAGTTATCAGTAATACAATATATCATTTGCAATGCAATAAGTGACTATGGCAGTGGTTCTCAACCTGTGGGTCCCCAGGTGTTTTGGCCTACAACTCTTAGAAATCCCAGCCAGTTTACCAGCTGTTAGGATTTCTGGGAGTTGAAGGCCAAAAACATCTGGGGACCACAGGTTGAGAACCACTGGACTATGGAATAGTGCAATTTATGGAATGGCTCCTGGAATATGCCTTTGGATTGTGTGGTTTTAATGTAACTGGTTTTTAAGATTATGTGTTTTAACTATTGTTTTCAATGTATATGTTTTGTTTTATCCAATGTATGTAAAAGTGGTATCAAATTGTGCCTTTTCTGTAAGCTGCCCTGAGTCCCTGTAGGGTCGCGAAGGACGGGATATAAATGCAGCAAATAAATAATACTAGGAACACTACCTCTAACTCTACATAAAATAATCTGTAACTAAAAAATCACTTTCTTGAAAATATAAACTCTATTTGTAAGGAATTTTTCAAATGCTTGGAGAGTAAAAGTTGGGCCCTAATCATAAACTCAGGACTACTTATAGTCTTTACTGAAGCGAAATGTTTCAATTATTTTAGCCTGAAGGAATCTTTGAAATAATTTTCAGGGGCTGAGAAACCACTACAGAAAAATTGTTACATCTAATCCTCAAAAATATTTTAAATCACAATCTCACGTAAAACTCCTAACATACTCTTGCACCTTCCCCTCCCGCACATATCATTCTCACTCCTAGTCTGCTCACAACTTTCATATCTCTTTCCAGCCTCAAATTATCAAAGTATTTAACAAGATCACTAATAAAAATGAACCCTTGTATGGCTGCGATGCTAGCAAAGACTCCAAAAGTCTTCTGGTGGTCGAGGCCCAGCTCACTAGAAGGGAGGAAAGGTTTCGTAACAGGCATGAGCTACAACAGCTAAGCAAGTGACCATGTTCAGTAAAACAGTGTTGGGATATAAATCTTTAGACCCTCATTATGACATTCATGACTTTCAGGCTCTCTTGAACTTCTAGCTTGCTACTGTTGGAAACACAATACTAGATTCAAATGACTTTGAATTCATCCAGTAGTCTTTGTGGACTTCAGCCACAATACAAGGAACCAATGGACTTCTGTGATCTCCTGCTGTCTTTGCCTCTTTGCAATCAAATCTCTGGAATACATTTTGGTTTGTGTGCCAGAGTACCTTATGGCCACAAGATGGTGCTATGTATTTATGAAACACATCAACCAAAAAGTTATGTTTAGATAAGGGAGCATGGGAATGAAATCCAGTTCATATGCTATTTACAGAAACCTTGTTTAATATCTGAATGTGGATTTTAATGTCTTGCTTCTAAGTCTACAAGTATATGGCTATATAGACTATGGCCTATATTACTTAGCTGGATCTCCCCAAACATCCTAACAATTCATATGATTTTGGGAGAGTGTGGGTATCAGGCAGGGATTATATTACGGCCTAGCAGAACAAGCAGCAATAAGATGTTTGCCTGTATCTAAGAAGCTATATTTGCAGAAATTCCCTCTTCTACACAACTATTAAAAGTGAAGATCTTCCGTTCTCTTATTCTCTTACTAAGAACGCAGAAGTCATTGTGATCTGTGAAGCTAGGCCGACACAGATCTTTATGCAACTTATGTTATAGACTACATGTAGTATCCGAAAATTAACCTCAAATGCTTAACACAATGGGGCTGAGGAACATATATGGCCCTGGAGATGTTCTGGACTCAGTTCCCATAGTCTGTTCCCACTGACCCTGTTGGGCAGTCTAAAACAGCTGGATGGCCAAAGTTCCCAAACCTGCTCAGCTTAAAAAGTAGCACAGTGCTTGATTTAATGGACAGGTTATAACATGGTAGCACTGTTTTGTGACACTTTTACTGGGAAATGAACTAAAGTAGCCTTTACTGCTACAGTGTGCAATATGTTTTGTAGGACAGGCATGAGCAGAAAACAGGCCTCCAGATGTCCTTCACTGGCAAGGGATGAAGGGAGACAAAATCCAAAACATCTGGAGTTCTATCTCGTGTCTAGCATTCTTGTAGGGCAGGGGTGTCAAACACATTTTTACTGAGGGCAACATCAGTTATATGATAGCCTTCAAAGGGCCGCTGCAAAAATATCCTTGCATTGAAAGCCTCATGGTCCATACAAAATGCCCTGGTGGGTCAGATTTGGCCACGGGACTTGATTATGATATGTGTCTTACAGGGGGTCCTTTCAGCTAGCATATCAAACCAAGTGTAATGATAATGTTATCCATTTCAGCATTTAAAAACACTATTTTAAGAATCTTCAGTTCTCAACCTGTTCATATTTTGGTGTGGTTTTCAAAAGGGGAATGTGGGTGAAAGGTCTATGTGGATTCCAGAAGAGGCCCTGAAAGGGGTAAGCAACTTTCTGTTCACTCATTCATTCACAGCAGATGTTCAAATTTCCTACACAGATAGGAAAACAGATAATAATATTTCCCAATGGTATTGCTACAATTGAAGTCACAGATCCCAGATTACACTGCATCTACTCTTGGTCATCTCTCACATCAATGAAAATAACAAAACTGCCCCCCCCCCTCTCTCTTCTCTCTCCTTACCACTACGGACCAGACCCATAATACAGCTATAAGAATGACAGCCTTTTATTTTAATTATCAAGGTATATTTAAGACGTGTAATTAATTCTGGAGACTGAATTAGAAAAAGTATTTTCGTTATTGTTTGGGCATGCATGTACTGTTGTTTAATGCTAGGTATATAAACTATAAATTTGGAAGTTGTTTTCAGTAACACTGAAATTGTGCACCAGGGGATACTATCCCCACAAAGCTCCAAACACAAGTGTCCATTTCTTTTCTATCCTTAATGGCTAGCAGGATTTCCCAATGATATTCACAGTTTTGACTTCAATCGTAAGTAAAAACATTTAGAAGATGGGAAAAGGTTCATTTCTTATAAAACAACTGGACAAAATGCAATTGCACACTTTGTTTCATATCTCTGATCCTACAAAAGCCAGACATGTGCTTTAAAGAAAAACAAAAACAGCAAGCAACTCGGTTTGGCTAATGGCGCAACTGGGCACTAGGCGGTATAACTAGAATCTGGGCAAAACCCAATCAAATATGTGATTTGGCAACACGAAATTCCACTCAAACATTTGTGAAGTCCAATGATGGCACGTCATCAAAACATATAACATTATAGGTCTGTTTGTGTTGCATAAAAAACAAATAAAACGCTGCCAAATAAAACAATTCTTTGAATGAATACACAAAAGCTGACCTTAGATATAGTGATGTGGCCAATTAGGTTTGCAGATTATAAACTAGTGATACTGATAAGAATATGTCCCTTTGGACTATAAACACAGCACTTTAGACCAGTGATGGGAAAATATGCTCCTTGAACTGCAATTCTCACATTCTTTGACATTGGCTATGCTGGTAAGGAAAGATGGGAGTTGCAGTTCAAACTATGGAGAGCCATACAATTTCCACTTGTGTTTTGGAACATGAAAAGTTGATGTATAGGTGGTCTTACATAAGATTACAGTAAATTCAAACATATGATAAGGTGCTTACAGTAATATTTGGCCCTCTTCTTCAGCAGTTAGCATGTAAAATGGCAAATTCCTGATTGTTCTAAAAATGAAACTTTCGGTTTTAAAATAGTGGCTCCCAACTTCTGGCTTCTCACATTTTGGGCAAATCCAAGAATTTGCTATGGTGGCTAGAACTAGGTTAAAGTGAAAAAA